CTATTAAGAATATGGTGAATTATCATGTCCTAGAACCATGTTGGGAATGATTTAGCAAGTCTCAAGATTTGGTGTTCGAATCATTGGCAGTCACTGAGATCTTTACAGGAGGTCTACAAGAACAAAACTGTTTTCATAATAGCACTTAAGATCTCATTCGCCTTTTCACTGCAGACATTTGCAAAGGTAACAGTGGGCACAACTACTGGCGTAGCTCCAAGCTGCACCTGTGGTCACTGTAGTCTCCATTGCTGTGCATTTGAGAATGCTATGGTTGAGGAAGTAAAAGTATTCATTTTATTAAAACTCTGTTCTTAAGTGTACACTTTGAATTTTTTGTGTGATGAAAATGGAAATAGACAAAGACCAGCTACATTGGGTTACTCATGGTGTTTCAAGAACACTAACATGCAGTTAGTTCTTTGCATTGTGACTAAACTGGCTGCTCCCCCCCCCCATAGAATCTCATTTTTAATCAAAAGAATGACTGACAAGCTATATGATTTCAACTTGTGTAGTCAGCAGGCATTTTCATGAACATGCACAGGGTAAGCTAGTCCAGTTGTTTGAGGTAACTGACACTATTTGTTAATGATAAAACTCAAGGTTTCAAGCAAAAATTAGATGTTTAGAAAATCTGTGTCTACCAGCAGAACGTGATAGCCATCTCAAAACTTAAAGACTTATTTGTAATGGTACATCCGTATGAAAATGCCAGAATAAAAACCATTACTTTGTATGCTGACTTTAAAAAATTATTAAAATGTTAAATAAGCAAATCTTATTTTAAATTATTATATAACAAAATATCATTAACTAGGTAAATTAGTATTTTCTAGCTCTCTAGTGCATAGTCTTAAAGTGATGCATGAGGAAAACATGCATTCAAAATAAAATACAGACCAGTTAATGTAGATGATTATTGGGTTTATTGATCTGACTCTGGTTTTCACACTGACACCCCAAAAAATATCTGACTTGTCAAACTTTAGTATTGTATCAAAGATTGTCCATAACTATCCAAAAAAGACTATTAAGAACTTTTTCTTTTTAGCTATGTATTTGTGTAATACTGTATTTTTGTCAATTACTTCAACCAAAACATCTCACAGAAGATTAGATGTATATGCAGTTGTGAGAATCCCAACTCTCCTGAATTAAGCCAGAACCAAAGAGACTGGCCATCGTGTGACAGAATGCCACTTTTCTCATCAATTGTTTTTGCTGTTATTTTAGAAAATGCAGTTATCCTTCATAAACATATTTGTTGATATGTAATGGATATTATTTAAAATTAGTAAGTGGTTTTTTTTTTTTAGTTTTTTTTTTTGTTTTTTAAATTTCTTGGTTTTAACTTCTAATGGAATGAACACTGATAGAGCCCACATAGACAAATCTCTTTGGTGCCCTTTGTTACCAGAGTTATCAGGGTCAGTGTCTGTGACCTAATGAGCCAGACTTGGCTACCTGTCTTCAAAGCCAATCAAAAAGACAAATAGTGAGAAACAGGAGCCTGGGGAGGTGGCTCATTACATAAAGTGCTTGCTGCACAAACATGAGGGCCTGAGTTTGAATCCCTAGCACCTACATAAAAGTTGGGCATGGCAGTACACATCTTTAATCTCAAACGTGGTAATGGGGTAGAGACAGACAGATCCCAGGAACTGGAGAACTTTTTTGTTATCCAGTCTAGCCTAACAGTGAGCACCAGGTTCAGTGAGAGACCTGCCTTACAAAATAAAGTAGAGACGCAATTGTGGAAGACGCCTGACAACAACCTTGGGCCTCCACATGTACGTGCATGAGCAAGTATACTCTCTGTTTCTGTCTCTCTACCTCTCTCTGCCCGCCCTTCCGACACACACACAGAATGAGAAGCAGAAAAGGACATTTATTCAGTGTGATCACATTGGGAAGACAGACAAATCTCTTTGTCCAGTGATACTTCTTCCTCCCTGCCCCAATTCCATCTCCAGGGTACTGACATAAGATTTAGATTTAAGTAGAAAATCAAAAGTATGCATAGCTAAGCAGACCTGGTCAAGGTACAGTCCACACATCATTGACCCATCATTGTCTTAGCTCCATTTTCTCCTGAAAGGTGGTATAACAAATTGTCAGAACTGTGAAACCCAGGAGACAAGTTCCTCCTCTGGCTGGTATTTCTGAGGACCATTGTGTCAATTATCTGATAGCCAAAGGAAGAGATACAAGTGTCCCTTCAGAGTACCTTCAGAAGACCTTCATTTCTTCCAGGCTGGGTGCATCCTCAATGATTATTAGGGTCATAAAGGGGTCCCGAGACCCTGGTGTTTAAGAATTACTGTTCTAGAGTATTGTCTTTGCTAAGGATATGACTTCCAGGTGATGCCTCAGATTGCATCAGCTGGGCTTCTCCTTCCTTGAAAGCTTAGTTCACACCTGTTGACATATAACCATGCTCAGATGAGCAGAAAATGACTTGGAACTCTCACTAATCTCAATGTTGCTTCTCACTGACAGTTTGCCACTCACCTGGTCTTTTACACTCCTTAGGATGGTAGTCCTGACTCAAGCCTCCATCCCATTTCTGCCTCTCTTCTGGTCATCATAATCTAAAGAAGAAAAGACAGCTTGCACAAAAGCACATCAACCCATTGCTACATTCAGGCTAGTGGGAAAGCAATGTGGCATTACAGTCTATAAAAGAAATGGGTTTTACAAGGCAGATATGTAAGATTTTGGCTTATTCTGCCAGTTCAACATCCAGGTACCTTGCCAAAGATGAAGCTCATGAGCATCTTTAGATCCCTCAGTCAGATGACTGACCACCAGATAGCCCCAGAGTTGTCACATACTCATCTATAACTGCTCTCATGATACAAAAGGGTGACAGGAGCTTATGATCTCCAAGGGTCTCAGCATTGTCATATTACAAAGGGAACCACAGCTTGGGACCTAGGCAATACTCCTCAGGCAGGACCTCGAGACCTTCATTTAGGGCCTTTGCACTTCTGCCTCTCTCAGAAAGTGCCTCTTTTCCTTTAACTATCCCCCCTTAGCTGGGAAGTTGATAATCGGCCTCCTCTGGGGAGTTCCCCTCAAGTCAAGTGGTGCTGGGAAAACCCCCCTTTGGCTCATTGCAGCTTCACTGTCTTCCTGGAATTCTGACCCTCTGGGCTCCTATCCTTATAAATACAAGCTCATTCTTTGCTTTGTCCTCCCAGGAGGAGCTGCCCCTCCCTCCCAAGGCCACTCCCCCTTTGCTCCCCTGCTACCTTTCTTCTCATTTTCCAGGAGTGATGCTTGCTCTGTCTGTCGTCTCTCGCTTAAATCATTCTTTCAAATAACACCCCCGACCCCACTGCCTCCTTCTCACAGTCATCGTTAGCCTCAGGGAAACTGTAGTTATGGTAGTTATCTGAGCTCTGGAGTTAGAAGGAATTGGCATCAGGTCTGACTCTAGCCCATTGTCACAATGTGACTTCGGTGAAATTAGCATCTCTGTGCCTCGGATCCCATATAAACCAGAATTCAAAGCAGTATTTGCTTTTTGGAGTTGTTCTTAAGAATAAATCACAGTGTCAGAGCCTTTGGCTCATGAAAATTAATAGGAAAAGTAGAATGTAGGTAGAAGTTCACTAGGTAGTCAATAGAAATTGGGGCTTGGACAAAAGAGGGGGAGAAATACCAGCATTCCACTCAGAAGAGTACTGTGTGGCCAGAGATCAGTGTGGAAGCAAGAGAAGCTTTGAGTAAATTCTTCAGCCAGAATTCTGAGGTGGGGGTGGGGCACCCAGGCACCTGAAGGAAGATGAGTTAGAAAGGGACGATAAAGCTGTCAATAATGAGAGTGCCCCTGAACTCTGCCTGACGGCTTGAAGCGCCATCTCAAACTGGGTGACCTGGAGGAGATGATTTTCCATCTTCCACATGAAGCACAAAATTGAGTTGATTGCTCATTGTCACTGGGACCTCAAGACCATTGCTGTATATCTGAGCTCTCTAGCTTGAGAGTCCTGCCTTATCTCTGATTTTAATTGAACAGAGACTGCCCCCTACTGATTGTCTGGAATGCTTTCAATTCAAATGTGCTTGAGCTCATAAGATGGAATTGCCTTTGTTCTTGGAGATCTCTGTAGAAAATGGAGTTTCATGTGTTAGCTCATGGAATTCTTCAGACTGTTTCATGGACGATATTTTAAATGTCTCAGAAGGGACTCTTTCCTCATTAAAATGTGTGTAAACTAGTGGAGACAACAGGATTCTATTATAAATAGCCTTTGACTCCAGGTACCTGAGTTTTGGCAACCTGTGAGAAAAGCAACATGTATATGTAAGACTAAACACATTTATATCTGTATTTGTATGTAGAGCGAGTTGGAAGCACATTTTGATGAAGAGAGGTAGGAAAATATGAAGAATAGCTTGGGGGCGCTGCAAATCTGGCAGCATGCTCTGGCCAGGCCCAGCAGAAGTGATCTGTAGCGCTATCATATTGTTTAGTATTGCACAAATAGGATTTTATTGCACTCCTTTCTACAGTAACAAAATCAATTAAAAATTAAATATTAACTAAATAATTCACAGTAGACAAGATTATGAGTTCTTGATCTTGAAATGGCACCATAAATGTTGCATGGGAGAAAGATCGGGTAAACACTGCTTACACAGCAGTTCCCTATTTCATTTATATCTGTTTCCAGAAGCCGTAAAGAAATGGTGCATCTAGCATCTGAGAACACAGTACTGAGTCCAAGCAGATAGTTCTTGCTTTGGAAACTGGTGAAGTAGCTCTTTGCCTTTCAGATTGTTTTGAAGTTGGAGTTATAATTGATCACAAAACGTTTGATGAAGGTTCCTTCCAAAATTCCTTATAGTTTATGTGAATTTCAACTCTTTTTTGAAGGATTTTTATAGTATATTTAAAAAAAACACAAAATAAAAAAGGGATCCATCAACATATATCTTAGAAGTCCATCCAAGGGTCTCAGCGTCCAACAGCCATGGAGGCTGAGGTCTGTTTCATCGCTCAGTCTGCAGCTCATTAAGGATCATTGGAGATGACTAGCTCTTAAAATCAAACTTGTTCCACCAGATCCAACACCCTGAATTTATCCAAGTTGTGGAAACATGCTTTAACCACCCGTCCACCAGAATACCTCCCATTCAGATCAACAACAGCTTTAATTGCTGATACAACTCTCTCAAATTCTAAAAACATCCTTACTGCTTCATCATCAGGGGCACCAGGAATCTCAGATATCACATATTTTCCAATCTTGCCATATTTTTCACATTCTTCCTTGGTTTCAACTTCCAAGTGTTCATCTACCTCTCCCGCACCAACCGTGTTCCACAGCAAGACCACTTTAGTAGGAAAGGATTTGAATCCGACTTCTTGGATGCATCCTGAGACTCGCCCTTCCCGTGGCATCACCCACGATGTTCTTGCCGCCCAGCTTGCTAGTCTTCTCCACCGACAGTGCCTTACTCAGCCCCTGCTCATGCTTCCCCAGGCCCTGGCCTTCCCGGAAGCCGTACTTCTGCATGATCTTATGTACTACTGTGCCACCCATGTTAACAAGGAAGGTGTTGCTGGGCCCAGTTGGAGATCTTGGTGTATCAGGTTCCTCACATACCGGGGGAGGAATAGCAGCTTTGGAAGACTGTGATGGAGGTCTGGAGACCTCTTCATAAGGAAAATCTAGGGGTAATTCCTTGTCTTTCTCTACAAGAGAAGTAGATGGCGCCATGGCAGCTCCTCCCATGCTTCTTTTCCTCCGCTCTCGCTCGCTTGTAGTCTTCATCTTCATCAGAATCTGGGTCTGGTCGCCTTGAAAACCCACTAGCTTCATGCCTGTCTTTACGCCTCTTCTCCCTTCTGTTTCCCTCTGCCGCTCCAGCTCCCGCTGCCGTTCCCGCTCTTCTGTGGCGTTTCACCACTTTCTCATAGTCATTAGGAAACAGGATCATATTCATCAGCTAAGGAATCAGCACTTCTGCGGAAAACCCACAGGAAACAGGGTCCTTCAGCCCAGCGGCTACGTGAGGTGGTGTGTCCACAATCTGTCGGTCATCAGAGCATCCCTCTCGCTTTAGGTCAATGACGGGGGCAGGGACTGGACTTTGTTTTGTCCGCTGGCTCTTCGCTTGAGTGAGGGCTGCCTTCTTCACCTGAAACCGGGACTGCAGAAGTTTGAAGTTTTTGGACCAGCCTTCGGTTTTTGAGTCACTGATCTCCACTCCCAGGTCATCATACAGGGACACGTTTTCGGGTCAGTGCCGGCCTTCCGAGCCGACTCTGCCCGTGGGTCTCCGCGGCTGCAGCACGCAACCCAGCCGCCCTGCGCTGAAGTCCGCGGACCTCCGGAGCCCGCCTGGGTGCCAAACCTCCTCAGAGTCGGCAGGGCGCTCCGTGGCGCGGGGAGAGGGAGCGGAGGCTGCTGAATTTCAACTTCTTAAAGGGTTGCTTCAGAATAGCTATGAAAATTAAATGTCTTATACATCCTTTGTAGTTTGGGCTATGAGACTATACAATTGCTTCACCTCATAACGTAACTAAGTTTCCCATATTATGTCCTTTAATATATCTTTAAAACAGAAATCATAAAGTCAGTCTTTTTGTGAAGGCCTTATGGTAATATTGTAAAGTTGTGGATAGTGTCTGTTGCAGTTTCTCAACTGTGCTACTTGAGCAAGAAAGCTGCTAAAGACAAAAAGAAAACAAATAGGTGTAGGCATGTTCCAATAAAACTTTATTTATAAACACAATTCTGGCTGTTTGCCTATTTTAGCTATTTTAAAGTGAAATAATTTGTGAGCCTTGAGGGCTCCATTGGATAAACTATAGAGGAGAGAGATGCAGAGAGACAGAGACAGCAAGAGAAAGAATCATAAAATGTTGTCAGCCATAAGCTATACTGTTGTAAAACCACACTGTTTCCTGGAGCATTTGAAATTTTGTTGATTGGGTAACTAGTATAAGTACCTGGTTTCTATTCCTATGAGTAAGATTTCAAGTTTATTAATTACATCTGTTAATTTTGTTAAATTCAGGAAAGCGAATACATTTTCTTTGCATCGTTGTTTTGTACTTTGGAAGAATTCATATTCTTCACTGTGAATTTCCAAATCTGCCCTCAATTAAAATCTCTTAAGTTCTTATTCCTTTTATGAGATGACTCAATAATGATTTTCTTTATTCAATTACAAAGATTAGTCCCAAATGAAAATTTGAGGAACAGATTTCCTCTGTGTGTGTGTGTGTGTGTGTGTGTGTGTGTGTGTGTGTATTATGTATAAAGGTTATGTGTATATACTGTAAGTTTTTTGTGAGTGAATTTTGTGAGTCTTCAAAAAGGCAGGTACATTATGGTGCCTCCACAAGATAGAATATTATTTCAAAGACTTGGTAGCTTAGTAATTATGGAGGGAGTTGTGTCATACAGAATCTACAGCTATGCCGTAAGGAGAGTTTATCTCTTTGGTTTTGTTATGCTAATGTTTATTGTATATAAAATTCCCATGGAGAAGTAAAGCTGCTCTTCTGCTTTGCTTTCTGTTGCTGTGGCCAAAACTAACATGGGGAGGAAAAAGTTTATTTCAGCTTAAAACTCCTGGGACACAATCCATCTCTGAAGAAAATCATGGCAAAACTGAAGCAGAGACCATAGAGAAATGCTCCTTCCTGACTTGCTTCCCCCTGGCTTGCTCACCTGTTTCCCTTATACAATCCAGGCCCACCTGCCTGGGTATGGCACTACACACAGTAGATTGGGCCCTCCTACATCAGCCAGCAATCAGAAAAAAAACAAAAATTTCCACACAGACAGACCCACAGGTCAATCTAATGGAGAAAATTCCTCAGTTGAGATTCCCTCTTCCCAGGTGTTTCTAGTTTGTATTAAGTTGACAAAGGAAACTAATTGGCACAGTTGACCCCTTGTCAGCTTGACACACAAGCACATCACTGTTAAAACTTAACATTCCCTTTCTTGTTTATTCCCAAAATCTTGCTAATAATATAAAATACAGTACAACCTTAAAAGCCCCACAGTCTTTAAAAAGTCCAGCTGTTTAAAAGTCTAGGTTCTGTAACTCCGTTTCTCCAGTTCTGCCATCTGCAGCATACATGGCTTATCTCAAAGGTTCAAGTTGGTTCTACTCTACACCTACCACTGTCATTGGTAGTCATTCCAAATCTCCAATGTCCAGGGGTTTCTACTACAACTGAGGCTGTTCCTTCACCAGTGGTCTCTCCTGGCCTCTCACAGTGCCAAGCCTCATCTTTTCTCCATGACTCCATTACACATTACCAAGTTCTGCTGCCAGTTTGATGTGCAGCCTTGGTTCTGCCACTTGACCACAGCTTCTGTGTGCAGCCCTTGAGCAAATGCTTCCCAGAAGCTTTGTCCTCACGATTCTGGTCTCTGGTAAATCACAGCTGATTTTTCAGCCCCAGCTAACTAGAAACCACAGATTCTCAGTTCATAAATATCATATAAACAGCCCTGATAGAGCCTTTGATTGGCTCATAAACTTCCCTCTGAAACTTCTCAAGCCAGGCCTCCACTGTTCATATTTCTCTCTGCATTACCTTCCAGGCCCCCACAGAACAACTAGCTAAGCTCCAAGCACTTGGTGACTTTTGTAGCCCAAAGTTCCAAAATCCTTCCATAGTCCTCCCCAAAAAACAAGTCAGTCACAGCAATATCTCCCTCTCTGATAACAGTTTCTGCTCTAATTTGGTTTCTGTTGTTAAAACACTGACCAAAACCAACTTGGGAGGAAAGGGTTTATTTCAGCTTATACTTCCAGACAATAGTCCATCATCAAGGAAAGCCAAAGCTGGAACTCAAACAGGACAGGAACCCGGAGGCAGGAACTAAAGCAGAGACCATGGAGGGATGCTGTTTACTGACTTTCTCCCCCTGGCTTGCCCAACTGCTTCTCTTAAACAGTGCAGGACAACCTGCCCAGGGATGACACTGCCCACAATAGACTGGGCCCTCCTATATCAACTAGTAGTAAAGAAAGTGCCCCACAGACATGCTCACAGGCCCATCTGATAGGGCCTCAAATGATGGTTCCTCTTCTCAAGTGTCTCAGTTTGTGTTCAGTTTTACAGAAACAACCAGCACAGATGCCTGTGTTTTTTTTTTGTTTTGTTTTGTTTTTTTTAGCAGTTGGAGATTGAGCCCAGGTAGTTAGATTTACCTGGACCCAGGTATCTCTGAGACAGAGCACATGGACATACTATTCTAGTTCCATAAATACTATTTGGAAGTATAATAAGGGAGGGAAAAAAATCATATCTTCCAACTTTTGACATTAGAATGAATGGCTTATTCTTGAATTCTTTCATTTCAGACTTTCTAAATGAACTTAAGTCAAGACCATATCTGGTTCCCTTTCTCTTGTCTCTGATAATTATGAGGAAGCACTGCTTTAAGAGCTGAGGTTCAGAAATACACCCATCAGGGAGCACAGAGGGAGCTCTGAGGGATGACTGTGAACATGTCCAGAAACAACATGGCCTGACAACAGGTGGTTTGGGTCATCGCTGAGGCAAGGGGCTACACCAATCTCTTTTGAATAAATTTGGGACGCATACATCAATCTGAGGGCCAATAAATAGCAGTCTCTCTCCTTAATTCCTCCTGCAGAAATTTTCAGGAAACATTGTCAACCTATTATCGTAATATTCTTTGAGCCAAGCCCGCGTCTATATACGCATTATCATTTTCAGCTATAACAAACAGAATGGAAATTTTCCACCATGCACTGATAAAATCCAAATTGACAATTTGTTTAAAAACAGTTATTTGGACCAAAATCAGTGCCTAGTCAAAGAAATCTGTTCAGATGGCAGGATGTGAGTAACACATGAAATCAGGTCTGTATGATTTGTATTTAAGCTATTTCATTGTATCTAATGCTTTTGGAAGCAGAGATTTAAAAGGCCAAATCCATTATTCCTGCTTTTTCATATTCATGTAACTATGACTCTAAGGAAAGTTGGTTTTCTGCTATGGGTGTAGCTGTGAACTCCAACAGTCATAAAACAAATACATTTTGGGACAAGGGGTTTTAAATGCAAGAATCATCTTCATAAAACAAATTTTGTCTGAAAAACAAGACTTTCATTTTTAAAGGAACCCTGTTATATTGAAGAGTATTGCATTGTTACTGACATTTATGTCAGATATGAATTAGGAAACTTAATTATTAAATGATCCTAATCTTCCGTAAATGCTTTAACTTACATTTATTCATTTAAAAATGTAATATGGAAAATTCTTTCTATTTCAGTGATCTGAGAACAGTCATTCAGGACTGAACAATGAGGAAAATGGGGAGAGTTGTTCGTGTTAGGTACTCGGCTGCTTAAACCTCAAAATCTGTATATTAAGCATAGGCATATGTAAACTTGCTAAGTTCAATCGATGGGTTGAACCCTGTAGGTTTTATTTTAATAATGTTCAAGAAATAGTTTAAAATACCACTTGATAGATTGGCTCTATTTTAATAGAACCATTGTTTTAAATGCTGTTATATGTTAGAACAAAATCTTCCAGTTGATGGGACTTAGTCAACAATAGCCTGGAGAGAACAGATTTAATCCTCCAGTGGAAGATGTCGGCAGTGCGATTTTTATTGTCTGCCTAAGGCATTTTGGCATCATCTACCTTTAATAATTTAGGAAACCCCTTCATACTACAAACAATGTCAGAATTTCAGGAGCAGCTGAAACAGCTAAGTTGTACCTTTATGTAATTACTCATCCAACTGAGAATGTAGTCATTGTTTCTCATCTGTAAGCTAAGAATTAATTTAAGGCCTTGCTGTATTCAAGGAAGGAGTGTGATAGTGGGTTAACGGATGGTATGAATTTATTCTGTTGTGGGCCATAGAATTAACTGAGATGCAAGGCAGATTGTTCCCCTGACAGTCATAGCCACCATTTGGAGACTAGGTTAATTGAAAAGGAATTGTTGTGTTTTACTTTTGAAATTATCTTACCTCACTAAGGAAACTAGCATGTGGCTTAGATCTCAGTAATAAATTTCTGTGTGTGGCTATCCATAAAGGCCCCTTCCAGGGGACAAAAGTAATCCTTGAGTATGTTCACCAAAGTGTACACAAAACTTTTTAAACAAAATGATTGAAGTTGACTTCAAACTGAAAACTGTAGTGAAATCAACAGCTACTGAACTATACAATAGAGGGTGTGTGTCTCTGTCTGTCTGTCTGTCTGTCTATGTATGTGTGTGTGTCATACATGCATGGGCACACACTTAACCCCCGTATACCTGTATGTTCTCTTAGTCTCTTTGTAACTTAAAGGAGTCTGAAATTAATAGATTAAAGGCTTCAGATTCAACTTAGTCACTGCAGATACTAAGCCTAGAGTTGTAGAACTGACAACTTTAAAATGATACAATTGAACTTCTTAATAATACAATGAGGAAATGATGCCCTTACCAAAAACTACAGCATTCATGAGCTGGAGCTCAGGTGACAAACTGACTCTTGTGCAGTATATGCTTCATAATCATCCCTTAAGCTGTGTAAAGTACAAATGACCTTTAGGTGTCCAGTTGTATCCTAAGTCCCTGCTGATAACTTTCTTAAACTTTTGTGATAAACTAGAAATTGATTTAACCACGGACAGATGGTCCAAACAAGAATTATTTGAGTTGAGCTAGCGAATAGAATGTAGGAATACCTACTTGGCTGAGTCATCGAAAAGATGACCAGGATGGGTAGGGAGACCAAAAGACAGCACTTAACCCAGGGAGCCAGGAACCAAGGCAGAAGTCATGGGGTAAAAGTAGCTTTAAAGGAGAAGAACGTGGCAGCTCAAGAAAAGAGAAGATAGTATATCACAACAAACCACATCCAGAAGATCAGAATAGAAGTCAGAGAAGGATGATCTTTCCACTTGGGCCAAGAACTTGCTCCCTTGAAGCAATCCAAATAAAGATTGTTTACTAATATGTCTATGATTTTTTTTTAATTTTTAAGGGATGGTTTTAATGTAGTTACAAAGCAGATTTAAAACATAATACAGAACTCAGGATACAAACAGTTAAATCATAGGATAAAGAAATTTATAAGGAAGTGAATAAGTAGCCAAGTATGGTGGCGCATGCCTTTAATCCCAGCACTCGGGAAGCAGAGGCAGGCAAATCTCTGTGAGTTTGAGGCCAACTCTACATAGTGAGTTCCAGGCCAGCTGGGGCTACAGGGAGACCCTGACTCAAAAAGACAAAAGAAAAAAAAAATCCACAGGTTTGTGGGCTTGCCCTGAAGGTAGTATTGCTAGTCTACGGCCATACCACTCTGAATGCACCCGATCTTGTTTATGAAATAATTTTAATGACAACAAAAAGATTTAAATTCAGTACTTTTTTTGTATCCACCAGGAAAGCCAACATGTAGGAGTCTAACTTTGGGCATGTTCCAAGGAAAGGATACTAGTATGGCGAAGCACATCCCAAGAAAGTCATGCAATAACCAGTCACCACCTCTCAATCTGTAGAACAAAATACCATAAAGCTTGTAAAACCACAAGATTATCTCTCATGATTCTGGAGGCTGAAAAGTATTAGATCAAGGCACTGACAGACTTGCTATCCAATGAGGGCTCATTTCCTGGTTTATAGATGGCACCTTCTAACTATGTCCTTGTGTGATAGATGGGGCAAAGCTACTCTCTGAGTCCCTCATTTGTAGAGGCACTAATCCCAATCATGACCTAAAACCATTATTTTGGTCATTAAGATTTTAACATAGGAACTTGGGAAAGAAGCTATAAGCATTCAGGCCATTGTACTACCTTAATCCTTACTATGTGGCCTATCGGGCCTGAGAACCTGACCATGCCCTTCTCCTCTGACGTTAGCTGGCTGCTTCTTCAAATATACCACATACTTATAAAAAAAATTAATACTCCATATATCTAAACCTGGCAACACAAGCCTGTTATCCGAGCTGCTCAAGCAACTAAGACAGGAGAGTTGAAATTTGAAAGCCAGCCTAGACAACTTCGTGAGACCTGTCCTAAAATAAGAAGTCAAAGCAGGCTGAGGATATAGCTCAGGGATAGTCTGCTTGACTCTAACCCTAAGAGCATATGCAAAACCCTGGGTTCAGTCCCCAGTGTTCACCCCCACGTGTGTGTGTGTGTGTGTGTGTGTGTGTGTGTGTGTGTGTGTATGGTGTGTTCTGAAGCTGCAGCTACTAATTGTCAGAGGAATAGAGTTGTACTGCTCCCTCAAAGATCTTAAAGTTTGTGTTAATTTGCTTTCTGTTATTAGACAAAATCCTTGGGGTAAAGCAATTTATACAACAAAAAATGCTCATGGGTTCATATCAGTGGATGATGGGCACGTTGCTTTGGGGTCTATGGCAAAGCAATATGTTGAGAGGAGTGTGTAGTGGTCAAAACTACTTACCTTGGGGCAGCCAGAAAACAAGACAGGAAGGGACCCCAGCTCTAAGAGCCTCTTCAAGGACACACCCTCAATAACCTGACTTCCTCCCACTAGGCCCATGTCCCCATAACACTATGAGCTAGAGTTGAAGCCTTTATAAACATGGGCCTTTGTGGAACACTTAACCAAGACATAGCAAAGTTCAAGTCTAAGCAGTGCTTTTCTTTGCTTGAAACTCTGTTGTGATTTCTCCCCTCTGTCACCTGGTTTTATTCAGTGTTGCTCACATTTTCCGTGTCTCTGGTCTCTTGTCTGTGTCTCCCACCATATGGTGAACTCCAGAAGGGTAGGAGTCATATCTTGCTTATTTCAACAAGCTGGAGCTGCAGAGGTTCTCAGTAAGTGCTGACTTTGAGGTTGGATAACTGGATGGAAATACTGTGATGGTGCTAACCCCTGATGTGCTTTTTCCCCCTTTCTCAAGGACTTTGGCATTATGTTCGTGCACCACCTTGCAAGCATTTCCCTGATTACCTTTTCATATGTCAACAACATGGCTCGAGTAGGGACTCTGGTCCTCTGTCTTCACGACTCAGCTGATGCTCTTCTAGAGGTAAAAATTTTCCTTTCATCCTGAGGAATACAAAATCCTGAGGTAAAAATTTTCCTTTCATCTTTAGGAATACAAAATCCTGAACTCATGAAGTACCAAGACCAGCACTTCTCTATTATGCTAGATGATGCTTTAAAACTGCCAGGTGTTCCTTCATGTAAATTAGTGAACTCGAGACTTTATGTTGACATGCAAACTTTTATACAGAGTCAGTTGTGTTAGTATTCTTTGTTAATAGGAAGATGGAAACTCTGCTGCTCCACATTTGGATGGTTGCTTTTACAACAGAAAGTAAAATCGTCATTTTAATAGATTTTGTATTATAAGTTTCATACTGATTTATCTGAAAATTATATATAATCTAATTTAGTAATCCTAATAAAATTACGCAGTTTGACTTTTATTAACAGGGTACATAATTCCCTAGTGGTTTTTTACAATGAAAAGGGTATGTGACTTGTAAATTATATTCGGAAAATGTGTAAAAAATTTACTGCTTTTAGAATTGCACTCAGTAATGTTATGTAATTAAATGATTCCTTTTATTTTGTGCTAAGAAATGTATATAACTTGTCAAAACTAACTTAAAGGAGTACAAAGCTCATGTAGAAGTGACTCTTGTAGTCATTTTGTGTTTTTTTTCCTGCTGGGTCACAGTTTTGTTACTGTGCAGACAGACAGCTCCTCGAATGATGATCTGTTTGTTATTCAGTATGCACCACCAATCTATAAAGTTGAATCTGTCATAGAGGCAGTTAGTTAAGGTTTGAACTAAGTAGAGTACTTTGCCCAAGACTCTGCCCCCCTTAAGGCTATGAAACAGAAAAATAGTTCTTACAGACTAGCTAAGTCAGATGGTAACTTGGGGCTATGATTTTTAAATAATTCCAGCTAAACTCGGCATTCAATGTTTTTTAAAAGGGGAAATGTATGTAATAGGGAGCCAGTCTTCTAAAAATCAGTTATGATTTTATTGTATCCTACATATGCTTGGAAGTAGAAATTAATGCAGCAGCATAGTAAATCAATCTTGGACAATCAGACAATGTTAAGTCCCATGGAAATTGCTGGCACCATGCTTGGTTAGAGACGTGATCCAGGAAATATTGGTTGAATTAACATCTACCATTTTTAGCCAGAAAAGAAAGATAACCCAAGAATCCAAGTATGCAACTTAAAAACAAATGTTTTCATCCCTTGGATTCTCTTTGACATAAATAATGCTTGGAAATACCCAATTAGTGAAATCGCAAAAGGAGGTCTGGGGCCCAGACAGCTCTGACAGTTTGATGTAATCACTTCTTTACTGGCTACTGATGGATGAATGTAATAGGAGAATTACTAGTTGGTAATACCTAGCCAGAAGAAGGCAGAAAGTACTTTTTATCTTTTAATGTAATCCATGGTGTTGTACATCAAATATTCATGACATTAAAAGCTCGTGACCCTGACTTCCACTCAGGTGGCAGATATTTCCTCCTAGGCTACATTTTTCATAGCTTTGTGTACTGCTTAACACTATTAAATTAAAACTTCTGAAGATAACATCAATATTTTCAATTATGACTCAGCTAATTAATTTTCTGAGACATAGAAAATGTTATGTATATACAGGATTGTCTTTAATTTGTGACTATGTGTAGGGTGCTGTGAACTCTAGGAAAATATAAAAGGAAGTTAGGAAGCAAAATTCCCATCGCAGTCTCACCTGTTCTTGCTTAGAATCATCTTAAAAGGTTATGGTAGAGAAAGGAATGTCATTTCTTCCCTAGACTAATTTATAAAGGGTAAAAAAAAGGGTCACGTGATGTCATAAATTTTGAGTCTTTCTTACAGATACTTTGAACATTAGTAAATTTCATCTAGAAAAAGACACAGTAATATAATTAGAAATTCTAAATTTCGTCTAGAAAATGACCCAGTAATATAACTAGAAATTCTACTACTAAAATGCATTCATTGAAATAATATCATCTTGACACTTTCCTCTTCTCTAAGTTTGTGAAAATAAGCCAGGGAACTGTCTCTCCAAAGTACTTTCTGTGCTTGTTTAAAGAAAGCGCAGAATTCTAAGTAGAAAGGGAAGATAAATGCAGAAAAGCTCTATATATTCTATATAAAGTTTGTGGCCTTGGCATTTAGGACTCAGTGAAGACTTAAAAGATTAACCAACCCCTTCTGTTTTGCCCTGTTATGTCACAGTTCTGTCTTGGTATCTCTGGCTTGCTGGCATCATCTATAATGCAATAGTTTCTTACTTTCCTCTCTGTTTTCCTGCAATCAACCATATAATTGGATTTGCAGGTTGCTGAATGTTTTATTAAATCTGTGACAGTCCGTAGTTCTACTTTTGGTTAGTACTGCATCTCACTCACTGTGTGGGTAATTTGTAAATGCTGATGTATGAGGCATGCCATTTTAAAGCACCAGGCAGTTTTATGCATGTGGTAAGCTATATCTTATAGAGAGCTCATGCATATTGAATGAAACTTTTCATTTATTGGTTTAACTAAATTGCATTCCTTCCTTTTATAGGCTGCCAAAATGGCAAATTATGCCAAGTTTCAGAAAATGTGTGACCTCCTGTTTGTTATGTTTGCCATGGTTTTTATTACCACAAGGCTCGGCATATTTCCTCTCTGGTGAGTATACCAATTTTCCTTCTGATCAAGACAGCCCTTCCTTGTAAGCTTTAAAAGCACTTTCTTTTTGAATTCCACTCCAAATCCTTAGTGAGAGATTTAAAGATAGCAGGGAAGGACTTCAGAAACAGCTTGATGGAGCTGGGGAGACAGTTCAGTTACTAAACTGCTTGTCTCACAGGTAGGAGGACCTGAGCTCAATCCCCAGAACCCACATGAAAAAAGCTGAACCTGTTTGGAATCCTAGCACTGAGTGTATGGAAACAGAAGGACCTTGGGGCTCATTGGCCTAACTGATGCACTCCCAACCAATGAAAGACCTTGTCACAAGGGAGATAGATTGTATTTTTGAGGATGACACAGGAAGTTTTTCTATGCCTTCCACATACACACACACACACACATACACACACACACATGTACCCACACACACAAATACACATGTGCATACACATACACACACACACACACACACACACACACACACACACACACACAGCTTGATCTCTTCTTTCTGAAGAGTTGTTCTCTAACTAATATTTTGCACAGCATAGTTAAGAGTGGGATATGGCTTATGAAGCCACAGAAAACCTTCCCGTGTTTGAGGCACTATTCTAGAAAATGCTCTTAGAAGCTCAGAGCTAAGAATAGAAGCACAGTGCTGCAGCCATGAGCCAGAAACAGCACCCCAGGAACTTATCAGATGTAGATTCCTAGGCCCTGTGTCCGCCCAGCAAGTTGGATATCAGAGGTGAGACCTGGCTGTGTTTTGATAAGTCTTCCTAATGATTGTGCTAAACATTAAAGTCTGAAAACTTTCCTAAACTGTCCTAAATAGTTCTCCTCATCAACTGTATTTATAGGTAAAGAGGCACGGGAGGTATAACTTTAACCCCTAAAGTTCTCTGTGGCTCCTTAATGTCTAAGTGGCTTTTCTTTTGTTTAGAGCTAATAATAGTAGTAGGCTCTCCCCTATGACCTGTGACCTATCTAGTCACAGGTTCTTGGCCCTGATAACAGTGTCAGGTCTAGGCTCTGTTTATGAAGCAGATGTTAAATCCAATCAGAAGTATCTTGTTTTTCTGGGTCTGGGTTGCCTCACTTAGGATGCTTGTTTCCAGTTCCATCCACTTATTTGCAATTACAGGTGTGCATCTAGTGAATATAACCTTTTCAGCTATGTCCAGAATCTCATGTTGGTACCTGGATGATCTATTTTGATCCTGTTTCAGTTGCCACGATATAATGGGCATTGTTGGTATTTAAACCTTTCACCAAAAGGGCAGTAACAAATAGTGTTTAAATATTTATCTTAGTATTGTAAAATTATTTTTAAAATTCCTTTTAGGTTAGGAAGGCCAGTTTGGGGAGGGACCTTTCAGGTTGCCTGCTGTAGACTCCTCTCCCATCTCTTGATTCATGATAAGTTAATCAATTTCCTTGGTCAAGAGTATTGCTTTAGACACCAGGGGGGAAAAAAAGCCTTTCTTTCATGAAATGTTTTCTGTGTCCTTATAACATCTAAACCAAGGATTATTAAATTGTATATGAAATGTATGTGTGAATATGTATGTTATGTATGCATGTGCTTCCTGGGTGGGTTAGGGGTTTTATTTTGGTTGACATTTTTAAGTCCACTGGTTGCACGAGTATTCTCATGAGTTGTAGTAATACAGTGATTAGCTGGGACATTTAAACCAGTGTCTGGGCCCCAGCTGCCTCCACTGCTGAAGAACATCACTGTACTGAGCTTTCCTATATCATACAGAATGATAAGGAGCCCATCTCCTAATGTTGTAGCATTGAATGAGTTATATATCTGTAAAGCTAAAAAAAAGTCCTTGCTTTGTAACTCTTGGATTTTTTTAAGTGACATGATTTATTTAATATGAAAAGACAAACCTCTTAGGAATGAATAACTAAAAAGGCTAGTCACTCACTAGCAATACTGATAATGGCTCTAATGGGTAGAGTTCAGAAAGATGTAAGTGGCAAAATTATTAAAAAGTTATTTAACCTCACCATAAACAAAGAATTGAAAATTACAGTTCTGAATATATATATGCTTCTAGAAGCAAGGGCTGAGATACTGAAAGGCGGAAGTCTTAGTTAAACCCAGGGTTTCCTACATGTTGTTGTGTATTAGAATTATTCAGTGTCCTAAAGTTCAACTGGACCCCACCTCCCCACCCTGGAAAGTTTGGATGATGGCATCTTCAGTCTTCCAAAGTGGTTCTAGTGGAATCACTAGCCTGGTGTGGATCTACTCTTCAATTCTCTGACTCTAGCCCTGCAAGTGTTCCTGTAGTAACATTAAAGATACTGATGTGGGGAAATACCAATGGTATAATGATAATATATACTGTGATAATTCTTATATAAGCACAAGTCAAAGGCAAGGCATAGTTCTAGTGTCTCCATTATTTAAATTTATAAAAGTTATAAAATCGCAGAAAGGGAGGCACCTTCATATTATGCTGCCTCTCTGGGAGTGGCTATGTGAACAATCACTTCTTCATACTTAATCTGTTTTAATCATTCCAAAACAAACATATATCACTTTTGTAATTGAAAATTTTTAATTTAAAAAATTTAGGGATCTCCTTCACACCCAGTGAACCCAAGTAAAGAAGTAGATATTTAATTTTACTTATATATTACCATACTGGTTTTTTAAAATTTTTATGGACTTTTTGCATATTTCATACAGAAAATCAACGTTATACTCCCTTCCCCTTTGGCTCCCTCCATAGCCCCCGCTGGAGGTCATACATTCTGTCATTTGTGGTAAGACGTATCATGTAAAGTTAGTGTCCCCAGATGTCCTTCAGTGCAAGTTCATCCACGGGATCTAGTCAGCCTATCTAGAGTCCCTCACTTTTAAGATCACGTCTTTTTCAACCAGCACTAATCAGCTGCCAATAATTCTTCGAATAAGATTGGTGCCTGCTGTTCATTTCCATAGTTCTATGCTGGGTTTTTGTCTGCTTAAGTTTACCTGGGTCTTGTGTATGCTGACACCATTGCTGTAAGTTCATATGAGAAGAATCCCAGGAGCCTATAGGACTCTATTTCCATGTGGTCATGCACCTCCTCCCTTATTATCTTTATGCCCCTTCTCCCACACTGACCCCTGAGCCCTGGATAGGTGGGTTTTAATATAGAGGTCCTGTCTAAGGACCCATACTCTATAGATGCTTATTCTCTGCATTTTGGCCATTTGTTACCTTTTGCATTCCTGGCGCTCTGTTGCATGAGGGAGCTTCATTGATGAGAATTGGAAGATACATTAGTGTTCTCTTCATCCCTTGTTCTATGTTCTGGGAGACTTAGGTGTACAGGTTGCATCCTAGATGTGCCACTTGGTCTTCGGCAATTCACAGTCACTGCATGTGACTAGTTGTGGAACTCTGTAATATCTCTGTCTCTTGAAAAAGAAGCTTCTTTGATGGGTAGGATATTTGTCTATAGATTTAAGGATCTATGTTTTGAACATAGTAAGAAATTACATTTGTCTAGGGATTTGACAGCCTTGGAGTTTTCTATAAGATCTTTGAACTCTCCAACTATGTGTATTTGGCTAGATTTACAGTACTATACATGAATTTCCTCCCACTGAGTGGGCTTTAAGTCCAATTAGGTAGCTGTTGATTAGCAAGATAAAAGTGCCATTACTGCACCAATGTCATTTGCTGTGCTGGCCATTGATGTGTTTTTTAGGCCTTGTAGCTAGAGTTGGACCATCAATTGATGTTCACCCTTAGCAGCTTGTGTAGTGCTCTTCAAAGCTATAAGAGATAGCCTTCAGGGGAGGTGGCATCCAGTCAGTTCCAGCTCCATTGCCCCAAATCCTGTGTCCAAAGTAGGTCCTATCTTGAGCAATAGGGTCTTACCATCAAGTTCTAAGAGGTAACCAAGGGCTGTGGCAATAGCCTGTGTAATTTTGGGAGTCTCTTGGACTACCCTGGCCAACAACTCAAAGGAAGGTTTCTCCTGTCTGGCACTGTTTCTTGTTATGTAGTCTTCAGCTATACTCATGGACTCACGTAGAGATATTGTATGTGTAATTGTTCAGTAGGTTTTTGGACTAATACAATTCCCTCAGGTTTTTTAATGCTAGCTAGGCATTATTCATCTCTCTTCTTTCGCTCACTGTCTTATCCTTACTCCCTCCCCTCCTCATTTAAAGTGTGCCCATTTTCCCCATTTCTCCCTTGATAATTCCGGTCTACTATGGTCTCAACTCTCTTGAGCCCCTTCTTTCCCTTTATTCCTGTGGTTTCTTATACAGCCCTCCTTCTCCCCCTCCCATTTAACTGCCTCCTTTTTACACATATCTCCCTTAGTAATACCTGCCTCCTACTATTCATCACTCTCAGGTACGCTCTTTCCTTTTACAGCCTTGGTTCCCTTCCATTTTCATGGTTTCTGCAGTTATGTCAGGATATGGACTCACTTGTAAGGATTTGGTGCTAGGATCCACAAATGTGTGAGAACATACACATCTTTTGTTTTTCTGAGTTGGTGTTACTTCACTTAGTAGAACAGTTTCTAGGTCTATCCATATACCTGCAAATTTCATTATTTCATCTTTCCTTACTATTGAGTAGAATTCCATTGTGTAAATGTACTACATTTTCATTAACCACTTGTCAGTTGAGGGGCACTTAGGCTGCATCCATCTCTTTGCTATTGTGAAAAGAGCAGCAACAAACATGGTTGTACAAATATCTCTGCAATAAGATGAGTCCTTTGGGTATATGTCAAGGAGTGGTATAACTGGGTCATATGGTAGATTCATTTTTAGATTTTAAGAGTTCTCCACATTGCTTTCCATAGGGGTTGTACAAGTTTTCAGCCCCACCAGCAGTGAATGAGTGTTCCCCTTTCCCCACATTCTCTCCAGCATTTGGTATCATTTGTTCTCTTGATCTAGCCAGGCTGACTGGGGTAAGATAAAATCTTACGGTGGTTTTAACTCACATTTCCCTAATTACTAA